TTGTTTCAAGTTTTCCTTCTTTTTGCAGTGCTGTTGTCCTGTGCAGTTTGTTTCCTTACTCGGCTTTTACGACACCCACGGGATGAATAGGGGTGGTGACATTCCATATTCTTAATCCGTCACTACAAGGATGTAGGCCTTTATCTGTCGGCTATTCTACGTAAAAACATCGTCGACCGTCTGCACATGCAAAGTTTTCAATTTTCAACTCTGCTCGTAAAGAAATGGAAACAAAACTCAAGGCGTATGATTACATTATAAATTCAACAACAGCCTACCTGTAACAGCTGAGATGCCGATTGACATTCTACTGTATTAGTTACACAGATTAAGTAAATATATTTCCATTTGTTCTGAAAATATTCCGCAGCTGCATAAAACAGTAATAAGCTAATCATATTGAACAAAATAACTTCCTTATGCGAATAATAGGATTCGTGAACCAATGTTGACATGTCATGACAATGTCATGTAGACATGTAGAAATACAAACAATAACTTATATTGGTTTGTTTCATTCCGGCTTAATTCGATAAATAATAGCGTAGAGGTTTGTGTAACGGACTGCTACGCCAAAGCTCGCTAGTTCGATTCCTGTTCAAGTCAAACATTTGTTTTAACGTTTGCTTTGGTGTGATTATTTCTGTATATAATATGTATGTATTTACAAACATTTATATATATACATTTTCATTTATATGAGGTGTCTAGCTACCATACTACAAGATCTGATGAGTTTAGGACTAGATAGCGTTGCGTGAATGTAAAAAAATATATATATATATATTAAATGGGGGATAAATAACTTGAATGAACACAGACGTCTGATCCCAAATTAGGTAGAGCTTTTATATTTTAATTGCTTTCTAAATACTTACATGAAATAGATAAATTATACAGACACAACAAATAACAGTGCTCATCACCTATGTTTGTCCTGGGTCGAGCTATCCCACGATGCCCAGATTAGCAGTAAGAGTCTATAACCAATACAAGTAGTTATTGTATAAAGTGATTCATTTTATATCACCTCAGAATAACATCAATATTGCCAATCGAAGACGCTGCAAAATCTAACAAATTTAAATTTATTGCTCAAGTCCCCGATGCGTGACGATATATATTTTACTTTGGAGCAATTGGCTTCATACATTTCGTGTCTATAACATCAATTTTAGTTTAGTGCTTTTTCCATAACCAATAAATAAAATTCAAAGCGTAGGTGGTAATTTTTACATATTGTCTGGAAAATTCAAGTCAATTTCACACAGCTTTTCAAATGTTTGTGTTTTTTTTAAAGGTGTCTTTTTTTTTTAAAGACAACTCCCGCATTAGGAATATAACTTGTGTCGCGGTTGAATTTACAAACATACATCAAACGGACACAAAGAACACCCAGACTCAGAACAACAATTTGTGGATCACACAAAGTGTAGCAGGAAGCGGCGTGGCGACCGCTTAAACTACTACGCCATCCGTGCAGTCAAAGTCATTGAAGTGCCTGCCCTTATAAAATAACCTTCGTAAGAACGAAATGGATATATTCAAGAATTAATTAATTTATGTTCTCATCGTGTTTAGGGGCAGCAAAGTCATGCAAACGTAAAATGACTTTAAATTTAAATATAGAAACGTACATACCTAAATACAGTTGAAGTATTTGACCTCCTTAATGGTTTGACGGCTTTAAATGAATGTCAGTTATTTCTGGGCTATTTTTTTATTATTTCTTCATAATGGCAACCCTCATCATAACGACTTGACGGCGTCGTAATTTAATTTAATTTTTCTTTTCCCAAAAATGCCTGACAGTGCTTTCTGTACGTACTTTATTTAGCTCGAGGGTTATAGACAGGATTTTTTTTTAAATTGATACATCTTTTTAGGTATAAGATTTAGAATTCCTTGTAGAAAAAAAAAAGTGTACCTCGGTATAATCCATTTAAAGATTAAATCCCAAATGAAATAATTTTGCGATACCAAACAGAACAATTTTAATTATGTTAACTGCCGGCATATCAGTTTCATATTTTCAGTTCGCTTACAATATTTTTGTGGTAAACATTTCTTGAAATTATCAGCATTTGACATATTCTACTGAATACCTCTGAAATATGATTATGCTTTTCTTATAACACGTTATTTATTGCCAGTTACAAACTCTGTGTAGTATAAAACCGAGGCATAGACAGCGAACGCCTACCTTATCTGTAATAGTCTCGTAAACACTCGTATCAGGAAGCGATCGTTTTTATATAGACACCGTATCGTGTAGTTTTTATTATAAATTAAGTAAGAATAAATATTTTTATTAAGATTGAAATTCTATAAATATTTACACAAACTTTGTGCTGGGCAATGTTACAGTACATTTAAACAATTTGTGTCCGAAATAAACATATAAGGTTAAACCTGAACTGGGTTTTATTTTGTCTACCAACGCCCCTACCTTAACACATGAGTTTATTAAGTACAAATATACATTATATACATCAAAAATTTACATAAATATACTGAAGTTTTGCTAATTAAGTTAAATTTGCATATTAATAAGCGGTTATATATTCATAAGTACGTGATATTTTTCGTAAAGACCAAGAACCGTAGTCGTGTGTATCCGTTTTCTAATTATCAAAGACAATTAACACAGCATAGCATTCCTAATTTAAATTTGGAACCTGTCCTACTACTAAAAGAGAACAGAATTAAAAATTAACATAAAATTAATCCAAAACCTAAATTTCTTTTTATGATACGCCACGGTACGGAATATCTATAAAAACGGCAAAAAAATCATATCTGTTTTATGGGAGCTCCACTTAAATATTTATTTTATTTTGTTTTGAGTATTTGTTGTTATAGCGGTAACAGAAATACATCATCTGTCAAATTTGAACTGTCCAACTATCACGGTTCATTAGATTAGCCTGGTGACAGACAGACAGGTAGATAGACAGACGGACGGACGGACAGCGGAGTCTTTGTAATAGGATTCCGTTTTACCCTTCGGGTACGGAACCCTATAAAACAAGTTGGCATCCTTTAAATACCTACCGTCAACATAATCAGAAGGGGATGGGAAGAGATGAGATTAAGAATTGGGCTGCCGGATTATTCAAGGAAAAGTCTTGACCAAATTTATAAAATCTTTATATTTCACATCAAGCCAATGTTCAGTTATTTACTCTAACGAGATCATACGACATATATTAAATAATTGCCGAATATCGGAAAGCTCCTTCGGGAGCATCACAATTTTCGGCCGGTCGAATTCAGTACCGCTAAATATTTGATACTTCGAGTCACTTGACGAGGTCACGCGAAGGTTGGACCGAATACCTAACTATATTAAGTGATTCAATCAATCGTGGAGTATCGATTACTGTACCAATAAATGATTTGATCATAATGGGACGAAAATAGTCTATCGACAATTGGAATGGCGTATAAAGCTTCTTAGTGGCCGATTTATTTCGAGCGTATTACATTTATATTTTGATCAATGACGTCATACTGAAATAATCTGTATTGTTCATCTCTCTCATTCTATTTGAATCACTTACTTGTTCTATTTTCCGTACAGTTTTTAAAACTTTTATCCTGAACAGAAATAAAATAATAGGGAATTATATGAGGGCAGCCGTTCTGCTTAGCTTGGCTTTACTTGTATTTGTTTGTTTCACACCTAAACCTCTACACAGATTTTAAAAATACTTGAACCAATGGCAAGCTTCATTATCCATAGAGTAACATAGTCTACTTTTTACCGTGATAACCAACATATAGGCTTGTGGAGCTACGGATAAAGCTAGTTTTTATATAAATTGGTAAATAAGTTTAATATGGAATGACATAATTTTTCTCCTTCCTACATTACAACGATTTCAAATACTTTTAAAACAGTACAAAAAACAGTCCCTAGTTTACGTTTCTCATGTAAGATAGTGAATACCACACAATCAAAGTGTGAACTCAAAGTTTACAAAGAAGTCCATATTAGGAACACAGAGAATAAAAACGACAGCCGTTGTCGTGAAAAATAAAAAAGTACAAAGTATCGCAGACACAAAGAGTACTTCCTAACGCTGATGAAGTATTTCGGCGAGGAAACGAACACAACGACAGTTGGAGCGCACTCTGTAGGAGACTGAGTAATTCTGAAAGCTTCAGTAAATTATCTCAAGCATTTTTGTTGGCATTATGTTTGAATTAAGTAAAAAATATTTTGCTGAAACTAAATCGCATTTCACTGTCACCATTTGTGTGATCTCTTCACAGTTCTTAAAGTTTTCAAGATTGAGGTGTTTAGAGCCACTGACGATAACCTTTATTAGGGATATTATGTTTTAAGATGAGACAAACTTGGCGAATTAGGTTAAGGAATATGGTGAGACAGGGCTAGCGTAAGCGCAAAAATGGCGGAGCGGGACCGGGAGAGGTCCGGGAACGGGCCAGGTACCGCAGACGACTCAGGCGCCTAAGGTCGCAAAACGAACGTCCTCCATAAGCGCGATGGAAGGTAAGGCCATCTGTCACCCTAGCAGAAGCAGGCCGGGGTGGTGGCGAGACGCGCTGCGGAGCGCGCGCCCTTACCGGAGTACAAAGGGGACATAGGGATTTCCACACAGGAGGGGGTCATCTACACGCTGTATATGGCCTAAGGTACGTTGGGGTACCAGGGATTTCCTTTTTAGAGTATACCTGGTCCCCCGCAAACTGGAACCCTAGGCGGCGTGCGGTTCGAGTCCGACATAACCATCCCATCGGTGGGTGGTATCCGAGGATATTTCCGCACAAAAAAAAGAGGTAAGCGCAAGTGTCGCCGGAGTTACATAAAACATTATTTTATTTTATTTCACTTAAAACATAAAGCGGTAAAAATTTACATCCAGCGTACATTTGTATTTATCATAACTATTTTTACCAAGACCTTTTTTTTTCAGAGGTCTATTTTTGTGACTGAGTGGAAATTTTTGTAGAATCTACTGATACTGTATCTAATGTTTCCATCAGAAACAGTATCATTGACACTGTTGACGCGACGCCTAAGTCTCTCCAGGGGAAACCGTAAGTTTCCACTCGTCCTTTTCAGAGGTCTATGTTCAGCAGTTTAGTTGTATACTAATCAGGCCAAAATATAACTCTAGTATAATAAATATAAAAATATAATAGAATATAATTATCCTGTTAAATTTTAAACTTAGAAATTGTATTAAATTATTGAGTATATTCAATTTGAAATAATACTCAACTGTTTATCGTTTAATGATCACGATTATTTGTTTACTAGGGCCTATTTTCGTTAATCTTTGAATTATATGCACCGCATTATATGCACCGCACAAAACACTTATGCATAATCGGACTACTAATCATGACATTTGTGGTGTTGTTTTAAATTTTATTAATCAACAATATTACAGTACATAGCTCTATTCAGATCGAAACTAAACACACCTTGTGTTATAAGTTCTGATACTTGGCTTTGAAACCTTATTTGATATGTACTCGTACATCGACAATATATTTATAAATTTACATTAACTATTACGATTTTGAAACCTTTCCTACATAGAAATATTAACAAACGAGGCAGAGCACTTATTAGTGTTTTGATATTTTTTATGATCTAAAAACTAAACGATATTTTAATGATATCGTTTGATGTAGGCTCTCTATTCTGCCAACCTGATAGAAAATACAGAGATGTTGACGTAACTCAAAGCGTAAAAATATTTTCATACTCAAAGCTTTCAAAACACAATGACACAAAATCTAAATAAGCCTTATTCCGCTTCAGGAAGTCTTTTCAAAATTCGCTGACATTGTCAAAAAGTTTCGATTTGGCCCCAATTGTTTTACAGTGACCTAATTTCATATTTTTGTTATTATAATGATGTTTAAAAAAAATTCTAACGGTTGACATTGTCCTTTCTCAAATAATTGGCGAAGTTGGCTGGAAAAATACAGTATTTAACATAAATTGCTCGAAGAAATCTGAGATTTTCTTGTCAATTATTCTTTTTGTGAAAGCTGAGTGAGAGCAGGTAAATCTTGTTCAATGTATGGCGAAATAACATTGTAGTCTTATGTCTAAATAAAGTAGAACAATTTTTTTTTGACAACATGGTTTTTTAAAAGATTAATATTTACATGTATATTTCGATTTTCTATTTTCTTTTTAACATTATTATGGAATATGTGTTTGTATAAAGAACGTATATTGTATAAAAAAAAAAACAATAAATCACGTCCTTTGTAGAAAATATTAATACCGACAACCTTATAGGTTTGTTTAGAAAGTTGCTTAGTCTGTATGAGATTTAGAACATGCCATGTTCTTCTATTGCCTAGGTAAAGAGAGGTAAAGGAAAAACATTCACGTTTTCAATTTATTCTTATATCTCTTTTTTCCATTAAACCGCGACCGCAACGTCGCTATTCCAATTGGCGGGGGTCAGCTTCCCCCGGGATAGTTGCTGGTTAGGCGCAGCGTCGACTCCTGAAGGACCTGGTATCACATGAGTACACCACATACTTCTAGCTCCTGTTTTCCCAACGTGGTGAAGATTTTCCACCCCTTCAACAAAAAATAAAATTCTTTTTACGATTACACATTACTATATTATTTTCCTACACATTACTTACTTTATTACACAATACTTAATAAGTTGATGTAAATGGGATGTTTACCATGTTTATTTTCGACCGTCGGATACTTTATCACTGCACTATTTCAATATCCCTGAATATACCCTATTGGTTGTGGTTGTGGGCTACGGTTTCCGCATTTAGACTCAAGAGTGTTCCTTTATGCGTCGAGGATTGGTTAGCTAGGTGAGCCAACCAAGCTCCTTCCAGAAGCGCAGAAGCCCAGAAGAACATACCCTATTTATAGATGTAATTTAATTCGTTATCTGTCACAGTCACGCCCTTTTTTATAAACTTAAAAGTAATACATTTGAAAAGAGTTTGAATTCTTATATTTCTCTGTATTTTGATATATATTCTTGTAAATAAATTATTACTAAAGTCATAACATCAAATATAATTTATCTTTTATGGAATATACGATGTAACGAGTTATTTAGAAATTGTAATTTACTCAAAAATATTCCAAATAAATTGGCAAAACCAATTTTTAGAAGTTAATTTACTAGGACGTGAATGGAATAGTAGCTCAGCTCTTTATTAGTTTTTAAATGAATTCCTTACAATTCAAATAAATATTAAAAGAAGAGTAATTATAATTTATGTCACACACCAGTTCCAATATTGGCTGCACGGATGGCGTAGTGGTTTAAGCGGTCGCCAAGCCGCTTCCTACTGCGCCGAGTGTTGTGGGTTCAAACCCCACATGGGACGACACTTTGTGTGATCCACAAATTGTTGTTCTAAGTCTGGGTGTTCTTTGTGTCCGTTTCATGTATGTTTGTAAAGTCCTCCGCGACACAGGAATGTATTCCTAATGCGGGAGTTGACGTTTAAAAAAAAAGACGTTTTTAGAGTTACATTATTAATTCAAGTATTATTTAATAACACATCACAAACAAAATCATGTAATATGACAATAATTGCTATCGCATAATATATCGAAGACGAACAAAGACAGAAGGAGTTAAGGAAGACCATTTAATAATTATTCCATTAATTATCATGCACAGGCCAGACTTGTACTATAATAACCAGACTGCTCAAGAACTTACTTTTTTAGGATTCCGTACCTCTTTGAAATATTGAGTATTCATAATGTAATGTTTATTCTATTTACATTTGGAGTGGAAACCATCTAATCCAGCTTTGCAAACCTATCGAACGAATGTTATTAGTTACAACGAAGCAGCTTTGATATCTATAATTGGTTCAAATAAGCACAAAAGCTACAGTTAATAAAAAGCTTATTCTAGTTCCTTACAAGGGATATTTAAGAATATCAGCCCCAGATTATCTGAAGTATTTTCTTAGCTGTTGTAAAAATTCACTAATGAGTCGATTACACATTGCCAAACATTTTTGTGTAAATTTATATTTAACATATAAAATTACATTACCTAAATGTCAGAGTACAGAGTGTCAGCGCCCCTATTCATTCCGTGGGTGTCGTAAGAGCCAACTAAGGGAGCAAACTACGTAGGACAACCGCACTGCATTGAGAAAAATAACTTGAAAGCTTGAAACAAACACTAAACCAACCCGCGTCTGGCCATCATGGCATAGTAGGCCAAAACCTCCCATCTAAGAAGAGGCCTATGTCCAGCAGTGGACTATTAAAGGCTGTTGATGATGATGAATGTTACCTGTAGCTTACCATGATATAACAGAGACTGTTACACCCTTTATGAGTATTTTATTTAATACAAAAAAAATATAGACAGTGTTTGTAAATTAATGTTCTATTTTTAATATTTTCTTACCCAAAAGTGGCGTATTAGCTTCACTTGTATGTATTTTTGTTTGTATGTTTGTAACCGACTCCTTTGGGCGTGATTTTGACTGACTTTAAACGGTCAGAATTCGTTTAAACTTTGTAGATATATCGAGGAACGATGACACTAATTTAAAAAGCGTGGGGTGCTTTTTACTATTGACAGTAGGCACCCAACGCTTTTTTTCAAATTTATTTTCTATTTTTTAGTTTGGTTTTCTATGGAAAGCGTGTTTTTCAGTTTTTAAAACTATATATTTTTTAACCGACTTCAAAAAAAGGAGGAGGTTCTCAATTCGACTGTATTTTTTTTTTTTTTTTTTTGTATATTTGTTACGCGATTACTCCGGCAATTATAAACCGATTTGAATAATTCTTTTTTTATTTGGTAGGTCATACGTCAGAGGTGGTCCCATTGTCACCAGGTCAGGATCTGATGATGGGATCCTGGGGAAATCGAGGGAAACCCTCAAATTTTGTAGGCATATACACTGTTTATCAGAAATTATCTTAATCTATGTAGATTTTTGCATCTAATGGTCACCATCTGATGTTGCTGAGCTGATGATGAAGCTGTTGATGAATGGTTTAGGAGTATGGGATCTCTGTAACAAAATTATGTAATACCATCGAATTTGAATGTGTTTGAGTCTAATTAATAAGAACTCCGATCCTATGTGATATTCAGGGTCTGATGATGGAGACGGTAAATAGCCATGGGAACTCTGTAATAAAATAAAGCAATTCCGCCGTGTTTGTGCTCATTTGATTCGTCTCGACTAGGAGCTTCATGCTAGTCGATTTTTAACCAACATCAAAAAAGGAGGGTTTTTGATTCGACAGTATGTTTTCTTTTTAACCGACTTCCAAAACACAAAAGAGGAGGTTCTCAATTCGTCTGTATTTTTTTTTTATGTATGTTTTTTACGCGATTTCTTCGTCAATTGTGGACCGATTTTCAAAATTCTTTTTGTAATCGAAAGGGTATGCTCCCGAATTGGTCCCATTACCACCAATTCAGGATCTGATAATGGGATCCTAGAGAAATCGAGTGAAACCCTCACAATTATTGGGAATTTGACAGCCCCGACAACGTGTTTTATCTACGAGTATTTCTTTAGCCAAACAAACCATGGCAACTGTCAGAGACTGCGCGATGTGATGCGCAGAGAACTTGCAGTATTTATGTCAGCACAGTAGTTTTCGTTGTATTAAGAAGAAAAGGTTGAAATTTTGTATTCTATCTTGTTAAAATAATTCGGATAGACGTTTTGTTGCTATGGATGGCATCGCATTTCGTTTGTAAGTAATTTTATACTTAATTTATTAAAATAGTTCTGGAAAAAACTCTTAAATTTTGGGTGGGTCAACTAGGTTAATTTCTAACATACTAGTATTAACCCTTCTAGTTGGAACTCCTTCTATAAAATATTGAGCATATTTGTTGAGTAGTCTCACTAAAGCTTCCCTATCTTCACCTTCGAGATCAGTGTCAATTGAATCGGAAGTTATTTTGTTCGGTTGCAACTCACAAGAATTTGACTGTTTCTTAGAAAAGAATTTAAGCTGATCTTGATCAGTTTGGACACCAATGTCATTTTCATATCCTACACTAAAAATGGTAAAATAAACCCTTTTTAAAAAAAAAGTTGAACCGACTTCAAAAAACACCGACAAAGAGCACTAAAAATTAAAAAATAATTACAAATCTAAGTAAAAAACTATAATAAGTACCCTCAATGTAACAGGTAACATTATAATACCAATAGTCCCTTCTAGTCTGTTTGAAGTCGGTGCCAAGCTCGATGTACAATAAGTAATACTGGTCTATGTCAGCTTTGTATTAGCACAATGAAAAATCAAGAATTCAAAATAATTCTAATGAAACATCGAAGATTTTGTTAATTAATAAAGACCAACCAGATCAATTACGTGCGCAAACTTATCAACTACTTATTAAAGAATTCAAAATAATAATATAATTGGAGATGTGCGTCCACTTTAGCTCGTTCAACATGTTTTGCGCAGCATGAAGACTGTTGCAGCTGCCGCGCTACATTCTACCATGCCTATCAAGCACCTATTTGGCATGGCACCGACTTCAAACTGACTAGAAGGGACTATTGGTATTATAATGTTACCTGTTACATTGAGGGTACTTATTATAGTTTTTTACTTAGATTTGTAATTATTTTTTAATTTTTAGTGCTCTTTGTCGGTGTTTTTTGAAGTCGGTTCAACTTTTTTTTTAAAAAGGGTTTTTTTTTTATTATTACTGTATTCTGTATAATTTACCTTGAATAAATAAATGATGTGGGTCACATGTTTATAAATTTGGTGTATGAATTATATTTAGTTATTATCTAACGTGTAGATAACTGATGTAGGTTCAATTAAATAAACAAAAAAAAAAATTGCTAAGTAGATTACGGTGCTACATAATAAAGAGTAAAATACTTATTGCAAATCTACGTAAAGGAAAATGTCTTCAGCATAATTTATTCATTGACTTACAAACTTTATTTCGTAACTCCAACTTTTATTGAAGGTACCTAGCTCGATTAATATCGTCATTATAAGACACCTTTATTAAAAGTTTCTACGAAGAAATCATCTGCCAATTTAAATGGCAGCTACCACGCAACTACTGTGTTGCAAGCCCAGAGCTATTTTACCCCGTATATTAATCATACTCGAATAAACATAGCGGTATTGCAACTGACAGATTATTCTGATGACTTCACAGCAGTAAGCTTTAAGCAAAACATCGGCTATTCCTGTCTTTTAATACAGCGTCTAGTTGTTATGACAGGAGATATTTATAGGTTTTTTTTTCAATTCAACTGCTTTAAACATTTTTTTTGCTTATATAATGAGTTTATTTTTGAAAGTATTAGCTATCAATGTTATAGTTATAATTTTATCTCACTAATTAAAAAAAACGATTACATGGATACTTTCCAAAGAGCGGTACCCTCAGTTTGTAATTATCCTTGTTCAAATATCTTTTATTTACAATACATGTCTGTGTTTGAGTCACTTATTTGACAAATTTAAAAATTCAGTCACAGAACAAATCGACTGTGATTTTATAATTGTTCCATTTTTTTTAAACCTAATTTCAAGATAAAGAAAATAGATAATTTATTTTTTACTTCTACTGACACATAGTTGTATTTAGCGAAAAAAGTAAAGCAAATTACAAACACACTACAAGCGCGGCTAAAACCACAAACATTTCAACACCAAGCCTTTTTACAGGCATAATAAAAGATCCTTTAAAAGTAAATGTTGTTTTTATGGAACATATTGGTGTAAAAGGAATGTTTATTACATGCACAAACAAAAAAAAAGACTCATTTAGGTCGAATAAAACAGACAAACTTAACATTTTTTGACGACCAGATGGCGTAGTGGTTCGTGTAACGGACTGCTATTCCAAAGGTCGCGGGTTCGATTCCCGCTCAAGTCAAACATTTGTGTGCATGAACATTTAATGTTTGATTTGGTCTCTGTGTTTCTATGTATAATATGTATGTATTTACAAAAAAATAATAGTATATATGTATTTATGTCAGTTGTCTAGTACCCATAGTACAAGCTCTGCTTAGTTTGGGACTAGATAGCGTTGTGTGAATGTGGTACAATATTATTATTATTATTATTATTTTATGACTGCGAGCTAAACAAATATTTTTATGAACAATAAATTTCTTTCTCTTTTGTTAACAGGTTTTAATAGCATTAATTTTTCTCAGGCGATGTTGAACATGGCATATTCAACATCACCTGAGAGAAATACATCCTTTGCAAATTTACTTAAAAATACGTTTTCTTTGTTACAGATGTGTTCCCGTCCAGGAGCAGCTCAAGAAATAACTGTGTGTTAACAGAAAATGTAAGTGGCCCAGCCCATATACATTTTCATCTTAAATAAATTCTGTAAAAAATTCCTTCGAAAATATATCAAAAGATTATCATTCAGATTCGGATGCTTTTGTATAGTCAGCAAAAGGGGCGGACTTCACAAAATAATTAGTCGACCCTCAAGGCTAAATCGTGTTTGACCTGACAGCAATAAATCCTTTCGTTGATCCCTTAATATTGAATTCTGGATGAGTATTAAATTCTCCATCATTAGTATGTCTGGCCTATAAATTCGATTCATACTCACATGATCCATATCTTAGGATACTCTGCATTATGTTAGACTTATATTAAAGGGAATTGACCATTCACATTGGATCCTACTCAAAACTGCCAAGATGAATATTGTTCTTTGGATTAATTCTCAATTTTAAATCTTTATATGTATATATTATGAAGAAGTCTCTAAGGGCAGCAGTAATTAAACAATTCCAATTACAAACATATGGTTAATTGCCAATTTGCTTCTGATGCCCATTAATAAAAAATAAAAAATCTATGTTCGTCCTTATCGTAAATCGATTTGGCCGTCCGCGGCTTTGCCCAATTCCCTATACACATAAATAAAAAACCAGCTAAGTGCGAGTTGGACTTGCGCACGAAGGGTTCCGTACCAATATCTATAAAAACGGCAAAAAAAACATGTCTGTTTTATGGAGCCCCGCTTAAATATTTATTTTATTCTGTTTTTAGTATTTGTTTAACAACTATAACTAGCGGCAACAGAAATACATCATCAGTGAAAATTTCAACTGTCTAACTGTGTGGTTCATGAGATAGAGCCTGGTGACAGACGGACAGACAGACAGACGGATGAACGGACGGACAGCGGAGTCTTAGGAAAAAATAAAAGTCACCCTACGGCTTTCTGTGGTCCTACGTGTTTACAAAAATTCATGAGTCGAGTAGTTAAAGCATTTAACGTAATCAATATTTAAAAAATAAATAGCCAACCTACATTTAAAATATTAGTAAGGTAGTTCGATTTGCAATAATTTTTAAAAATATGTCTTTTTTATTAATCAAAACACCAAATTACTTTATAAATGTAATTTATTTTGGAATGTATAATAAAGAGATTCCGAAGGCCTTAACGCAATAGTCTAATTGTTTCTTAATGGTTACATTTAGGAACACAATTGTAGGACTAGCGATAAATCACTACACGGGTCGTGCTTAAAATTCACAATTTCTTCATTTTTATGTTTGTTTACTTTATTGTTTACTTTATTATTATTGCGTTGTTAAATTAAAAAGCTGATATTTTATTTGAATTTAACATTTTCGAAGCGAAGCGATAATATATTATGAGTGAACGAATCCATGATTATTTTCTAAATTGTATTTTTTTACGTACAGTACAGATACTTTAGCGTGAAATAGTTCTGTTAAAATACAAGATAAAATGCTGTGTGATAGTCAAACTTACATCTCTATATAAGGTTGAAAAAATAGAAACGGTACAATAGAACGGTATAATTAAATCAGTCAGAAGTTTCTGAACTTTTGGAGAATGCTAGAGACCTCCATGACTATAAAAACTTATCAAACCATACGCCACTTTTTACTTGCAATATTAGAAAGAGAGAGAAAAAAGAAAAGCTCCTAATTAAGCGGTTCTAGAATAAATTGATCATGTCACGTTATGTGGGTAGTTGATAATGAAAACCCCATCCTTGTGATAATCTAACTTTGATCAGGCACAGACCTATTTTATTATCTTAATTACCGTGACCTTAATGTACCATTTAATTATGTACCTTTTCAAGTGTTTGCTTAAAATTTATCGTGAATAACTTTAATTTTCCTTCTTTACAGGTACATAATTTCTTCAAAGAATCTTTAATCTACATTATCGCAAGAATGGATCTCGTTGAAGACATAGAAATGTACCACGGTAGCAACTACTCCTACGATGAGAACGGTACCTACAATGGAACTTACGAAAACTGCCCCAACATCAACTTGCCCGTGGTCTATGTCGTCACCCAAGTTCTTTATGCTCTGGTCTGTGTCGTTGGCTTGCTCGGTAACACTTTGGTCATCTATGTAGTTCTTCGCTATTCCAAGATGCAAACTGTTACTAACATGTACATCGTAAACCTGGCCATTGCAGATGAATGCTTCCTTATTGGAATACCATTCCTTATCACTACTATGTCGATCCGCGCTTGGCCTTTTGGACGCTTCATGTGCAAGGCCTACATGATATCGACGGGTATTAACCAATTCACCAGCAGTATATTCTTGTGTATTATGAGTGCTGATAGATACATAGCAGTGTGTCACCCCATAGCAGCACCAAGACTTCGGACGCCGTTTGTATCACGTATAGTATCAGCAGCCGCTTGGTCTGCATCGGCTCTCGTCATGACTCCGATATTCATGTATACTACTTTGATACCCACTGAAAATGGCCTATCATGCAACATCGTCTGGCCGGAACAGGAGTTTACAAAAGGACAAACGTCTTTTACGCTATACTCCTTCGCCCTAGGTTTTGCTGCCCCACTTACACTTATCTTTGTGTTTTACTGCCTTGTCATTCGAAAATTAAAGACAGTTGGCCCCAAAAACAAATCAAAGGAGAAGAAACGGTCCCATAGAAAGGTGACGAAACTGGTATTAACCGTAATAGCAGTGTACGTGCTGTGTTGGTTGCCATATTGGGCGTTCCAGGTGGCATTAATCTACTCACCTCCAAATGAGTGTGCTAGTCGGATCACTATAACTGTTTTTCTCGTGGCAGCTTGTTTCAGCTACAGTAACTCGGCTATGAATCCTATACTATATGCTTTCTTATCTGACAATTTCAAGAAAAGTTTTCTTAAGGCATGCACGTGTGCTGCTGGTAAAGATGTTAATGCGACCTTGCACGTAGAGAATAGCGTGATCCCGAGAAAACGCGGTGGAGGTGCAGCCAGAGCACAGGCTCGAGCCATAGAGTCGCGTGGTGCGCTGTCAGTTGCTGCTGGTGGTGCATCACGTTCTGAAGCGTCTACAGCGGTGACAACAAAATCAGTAGCTGCTAGTGAAGCGGTGCCCCTGGAAGCAAGACCCGCGACTTTAACTCCGCTCATAGCGACTAATGGATTGTCTCATACTCGACTCTGAGTGCGGGCCTCTCGCCATCGCGAGGCCCCAAGCGCCATGCTTGAGGAAGATACGCTAATCGTATCCATTGATTAGAGCATTAAGACTGTGTGTGCGAGTGAAAGCGCTCGAGTATCTCCGGGGGACCTGAGCCCTGTCCCGCGGCCGTACCCGTACGTACACGCCACCACTTTTATACCAGTTCAAGTTTAATATTAAACGTATAAGTGTAAGTGGATCAATACTGTGTTTCATTTAAATTAAAAATTTCACATTTTATGGAGTCGATTCGGCCTAGGGTTGTACCTAACGATGAATTTACTAAAATGTAATTTTTTATCGCATAGCGAATGTAAGGTTTACTGTTTGTATACCAGTAATTAAGATGTAAAAAATTGTACATATCGTGTAAATATTCGTAAAATTGTCATAATGTCACAAGTTGTAATAAAATTACTTTCGTGAAAATGTGTATCGTGGTACTTATTTGTTATGAGCATTATGTCCACGGCAGTAAGGGTGAGTATTTTAACACGCGTACCCCTTAGGAGAGATAAAGAGTGGATTTGGATAAATGACTATAATTTGAGATATAGACACGAATTTACGAGGGTTTTGTATTTAGTATGTGAATATATTTTGGGTGTATCACAGTCCCGAACTCATATCAAATCCATTTAGAACGAGTGTTGTGTACCGAACACATACGCTTGAAGTCGTAATTAAATTTTATTACTAGCCGGTAATGAATTTAGGTAAACTTACTTTAATGATGTTGTTGTAGATGGCTACGGAATTTTAGGGCACATTCTTCTCGTAAACGACTTTCACGTTCTAATTTATTACTTTACCTAGAAGTTCCGTACACAATAGAATAATTTATTATTGTGGAAGATTACTGCCCCTAAAATACCTAAGTTATTAGCCACAGGATGATAGACATTTACATAATGCAATTTAACTTCAACTCGATTCTTTTGATATTTGATATACATATCTCCAGCTCAAGAGAGACTGTCTAAATTTTCACACATCGAAAGCTGTTTTGGATCGACATACTTTTAAGACTTTGCTGGTTCAAGAAATAAAGTTTATTTTCAATAATCTTGCGTCCAATGGATTCCAGAGTTAAACGGTATCCACTTGAAAGCTAACAGCACTTGAAATCGAAATCAGTGTATATGACTTTATCTATTCATTATATTAAAAATTTCTAGCTATTGGTATACCATATAATTTACAAAATTATTATTATTATTTTAAAAAAGACAACTCCCGCATTAGGAATATATCCTGTGTCGCGGGGGACTTTACAAACGTACATGAAACGTACACAGAGAACACCCAGACTCAAAACAACAATTTTTGGATCACACAAAATGTCCTCCCATGTGGGGAGCGAACCCACAACACTCAGCGTAGTAGTGACCGGCGTGGCGACCGCTTAAACCACTACGCCATCCGTGCAGTCTAAAATTGAATTGTAACTATAAGCTGACTGATACTGATGAGTTCTTTTTTCACAGTTCGACGTCCAAAAGTACGTTAATATAAAATCTGTACCAAACAATTAATAATAATAATAATAATAATATTGTACCACATTCACACAACGCCATCTAGTCCCAAACTAAGCAGAGCTTGTACTATGGGTACTAGACAACTGATATAAATACATATATACTTTTTTTTTGTAAATACATACTTATTATACATAGAAACACCCAGACCAAATCAAACATTAAATGTACATGCACACAAATATTTGACTTGAGCAGGAATCGAACCCGCGACCTTTAGAATAGCAGTCCGTTACACAAACCACTACGCCATTCGGTCGTCGACTGAACTGTCGGAATTGACTACGAAACCTTTTAAATAAAGTGAATAAGTAAACACATGAATAATTTGATGAATTCTCTATAGTTTTTAAGCCTTGGAAAGTACGATTAGTACATTCTACTTCTTAAAGTCTTAGCGGTAGTACGTTGAAATAATATTTGTACATTTTATAGTAGGTACAAGGGAGCTAGTTAATCTGGATCTTTCCACTGTAGACGAGTGGTGAGAAAAGACTTTAATGGGTAAGTTTTAATTCAAATCCAAAGATAATCGGACTAATCCCAGCCGCAACCTTCCACCATCATTCCGGCATCGGCAAAATTTTCATCCGCATCACCTGGATAGTAGGCGCTCCACTACTGTGCGCTTTTCGAGACACCTTTTGCCCCGCACAACCAATCTGTGGAACGGGTTATCGTCTGGGGTATTTTCGAACCGATACGACCTTTAAGCCTTCAAGAAAAGAGCGTACTCCTTAACCAACATATAAATTTTATCGCCGAACCATATACTACAATAATATACGTTATTATTTTTTGTTTTACATACCGACGCGAAACAAAACCCAGCGAGAAAGGGTGGAATAGCATTATCTGATTGTTTTTATTAAGGAGTCGAAAAGAAATGGAAAAAGATATCTGTCAGAGTTATCTGTCATAACAGTTAGAACGATACAGAAATACTTTGCTTTATGCTATATTTTTATAACTAGTATACATGTATTAAGTACAATGATAATTTTATCTCTAAAGAAAGTGCAGTGAAAGACTAGTCCTGGATTTTGTTCCCAGAAGGACACTATTCCAAAAAAATTGTTATAATATGTGTATCAAAATATTTAATAGCTTGCCACCAACCATAAAGGCGTTGCCCCTACTGAAATTTAAAAGTAAATTGAAAACATGGCTTTTGGAAACAATGATATACTCAGTGACCGAATACCTAAACGAGCGATAAATACAAAAGCACTTGATAATATTTTATTGTATGTTGTGTTCTATATTAGAAATAAATTATCGGATTAAAAAAATTTGACATTGCAATTATATATTTGACATTATGTAAATTGTTTATTGACATGAGCTTAGTAGTTTGTTATTAAACCAATCTTTTGTTGTAATATGCATGTACGTTTCAAATTTTGCATGTCAGAACAGACTGACGAAATATGTGATTCTCTTCTAATAACTATAAACAGCCCATGTACTATATTTCTGTAATTAAATTATCATTTCATTTCATTTCAAAGGTATTTACTCCACACTAAGGGTACATAAGTTCCAGTCAAAAAGGAAATAATCATTGGATTATGATGATTTAAAACTAGTCTTAAGAAAAATGATGAAGGGTTATCGTCTGCGGTATTTTCGGACCTATACGACCTTCAAACCACCGACAATCAATCAGTTTCGTCAACAAAGTAGGTTGCGTCGTTCTGATTGACCGGGATTTAAGAGAGGCAGACACAAACTGATAAATAAAGTTACAGTTTGTGTTTGTCTCTCTTAAAGCTTCATAAATCTTCAATAGAATCAAAAACAATTCTGGGTACATAATTTGCCAAGCACACAAGAGACACTCAGTGTGAGTCCAGACGCTTCTTCCTTTGCCCACACGCCGAAAATACCGCCACATCCGGTTAAAACCTTATTTCAAGTAGTTTGGCTGTCATATGCCAAGACATGGGACGGTGTAATTTTATCGAAAAAGTAAAATAATATGAACTCTAAACACATTGAAATATGGATAAAAAGAACTTGATCAGAAATAAAATCCTTTCCTAAGCCGTACCGTGTTGTGACGTCAGTCAGCGCCGGTTCTATTGAGTGGCTGGGCTTTCTGCGAGATGCCACGACGTGACGAATTATCCCTTAGGTAACAGATAGCAATACACAGGCACCTGCATTATATATTAGAGGGGTGATACTAGTAGAGATAAACATGTTTCTGAAAATTTGGATCTTCCTAGATACATATTATAGACGTGGACTCAAACTAGTCAGAGCTTGTATTATGGAAACCAACCTGGTGATAAAAATACTTACATATATAATTCTAAATACATACAAAATAAGGAAAAATAACAACCACACACAACAAATGATCGTGCTCATCACAATTATTTTACCTGGTTGTTCATCGAATCTTAGGCTAGATTCTAGACCAACACTAGACCAACGGACCAGTCATTTAAAAGGAGCTTACTTAGGTATGTTATGTACGTTAAGTCACAAAATATATATTCTAACACACTTCATAAAATAAAGGCTGTTAAGTAAAATCTACTCCGTGTGGTGATGGATTAAGAATACAGAGTGCCACCACCCCTATTCATCCCGTGGGTGTCGTGAGAGCCAATTAAGGAAGAAAACTACGCAGAACGACAGCACTGCAAAGAGAAGGAAAACTTGAAACAAACCCTATACTAACCCGTTTGGCCAGCGTGGTATAATAGGCCAAAACCTCCTTTCTAAGGAGAGCCCTATATCCAGCAGTAGATTATTAAAGACTGTTCATGAATTAAAATTTTATTCCAATAAATGTGCTTAGGCATGTCTTACATATCCATAAGACCATATACTTTGACCTGAATGCAGATCTGCTCAATAAGCTTGACCGTCTTCTCAACAATTGCATTCGATTCGTTTTCAATTTACGCAAATATGATCACGTGTCGCAGCATCGCTCCCATTTGGGGTGGCTTCCAATTCGCCAACGCAGAGAGACAGTACCCTATATTCTTTACTTTTTTCTCCTAGTTCTCCTTCCTACTTAACTACTCAACTTCAATATTTAGGGGCAAACCATGATAAAAACCTTCAATCTTCAAGCAACCTCCTTCTTCACTGCCCCACTCACCGCTCTGACTTCCTACATTCTACCTTTCTGGTACAATCCGTCCTGTTATGGAACGCGCTGCGATGGGATGGATGGCAAAAACTCGGGAAACTTTTAAATACCTGTTGCGGAAACATCTCTTAAACTCCTTATCAGATCTACCTTGATACCTCTCTCTTCTAGAATTTATTGTGTGTATGTATGTATATATATATAATATGTATAATTATATGTATGTATAAATGTATATTATTATGTAAACATAAATAATTATGTATTATTTACCTATTATATATGTATGTATCTCTTTTATTAAAATATATTCTAATGCAATTTATTTA